AAAGATAGCATAGACTGTAATATGAGGGGTGAGAGCACTACCAATATGTATGCTTATTACCAAAGATAGCATAGACTGTAATATGAGGGGTGAGAGCACTACCACTATGTATGCTTATTACCAAAGATAGCATAGACTGTAATATGAGGGGTGAGAGCACTACCAATATGTATGCTTATTACCAAAGATAGGATAGACTATTATATGTTTTCCTTTGTTTAAATAATGTGTCATTTACCATTTTGTTGTCAGAAATGCACCCAGTCACAAGTGGGAGATTGCCAATGAGAAGAGGAATGGAAGTGTTCTGGCACTTGAGATGTATGACATGACAGCGGATGGTGTTGCCGATGTTCTAATTGGCCGTGATGATGGTCTTGTGGAAGTGTTTGGTTTTGACGAGATGGAAGAACCTGTTCAAAGATACTCACAGGTATGTACATTAATTTAAATCTAGATATTGCATATATTTTCGATTATCTTATAACAAATTTAGGTTACACATTACTCTTTTGACTTTGCACTCCCAAAAAAATGTCATGGCAAAGCTTATAAAAACACATGCATTTTATAAGTGATATTGTTGAATGCAGTCACATGATTTTGCATCGGTTGTGTCACTTATAGGCATTAAGTGAGAGTGTGACATCAATCTGTGGAGGATGTGTAAACACTGGTGGCTATGATGAAGTAGTAGTGGGTACCTATGCTGGATGGGTGGTAGGACTGACTACAGAACCTCAGCAGAAGGAAGCAGGACCTAGTGTTGCAGAGCAAGAACCAGTCAGTGACGAAGCACAGGCAAAAATCAATAGCTTGAGGTAAGGGTCCGACTTGTATGACCATAGTCCATGAGTGTGACTAGTAGCACACTTAGGAGCCACGCCCTCTCACCTCCTGCTCCTGCTAGAAGCTCTGGTGCCTTCTTCAAATCTAACTTGTCTTTGTCTGTGTGTTTTTGTTTAGAGAGGATATTGAGATGCTTCAACAGCAAGTGCTCAAAGAAAGAGAAAAGTATCAGTACACTGCTCAGTCGTCATCAGCATTATCAGCAATCCCACAGTTTGCAATCAATGATAGATTTGCACTTAACAGAGATGATGCTAGCTACACCTTGAGCATTGAAGTACAGATACCTATTGATAATGTTTTATTACAGGTGAATATATAAAAAAAATTATGATATTCGGCAATTATTATTGCAAGGGAATAGATGTATGGGCTTACTATGGTATTCCGATGGGAATGCTGAAATCCATTCTATCATTACTTTTGTTAGTATTTTCATAACATTATCACTGTTTATCTTGACAGAGTGATGTTCCTATTGATCTTCTGGATGTTGACAAAAATTCTGCTGTGGTGAGCTACAGTGCTTGCGACGTGGAAGTAAGTAATAGAAACCATCAAAATGAGAACTGTCATGTCCATTCATCATTGCAATTGCAATGCAACTGTAACTATCAATATAATAAAGTTAGAACAAAGTGCACAAAAAAAGGTTTTTTAAATTGATTTGCAAAAATTTTAATCTTCCAAATCAATATTACGTGTTACTGTATTTTTCCTTGAAAATTTTAAATTTAGATTTTTTTAACATTATTATTTCTTCCTAGAATGGCAACTATCTTTTGGCAACTTACAGATGTCAAGCCAATACAACTAGACTGGAACTCAAGGTCTATTATTGTTTTTTTTTTTTGTTTTTTGTTTTGTTTGCTTTTCTTTTCTGATTATTTCATCTTCATTTTACTTTTCCCATTATTTCAGTTTCCTTTTATGCAATTATTCATCTTTTTCTTTTTCGTCATTCATTTATTTATCTTACTCAATATTTCCTTTTCCTATTGTTAAATTTAATCCTTTTTTATGTCAATTGATAAACATTTTAAACCCAATCATCCATTTTTGTAGATACGCTCCATAGAAGGACAGTTTGGGACACTACAAGCATACATCACACCACGTATTCAACCAAAGACATGTCAAGTCAGACAATATCCTATCAAACCCCTCTCTCTTCACCAGCGTACACATGTGTTTAATGAGGACAAGTAAGTCTGCTTAATACTATTTTCTTTTGCATTGAGATAAATAGTTGTACATCTTTTTGAAATAATAATTTCTATTTATAACTTTTTTTCAAGACCAATGAATTCCCTCAAGCTGACTGGTCAGTTCAGCTTAGCCGAAGTTCACTCATGGGTTTGCTTCTGCCTTCCAGAGGTTCCTGAAAGGTAAGGCATGTCAGGGGTGGTAGGTTAGAAATAGTAGGGGGGGTATCTTTCAATGCCCCCACCCCCACATAAAAGTCCTCATTCTGAGCATTTCATTATGCAAAACATTGCATACCGTAGTTGTCATTGAACAACTTTCCATATCATGACATAATTTTCTTTAATAATTCCCTATTTTAAATTAAAACCTGGTCCTAAACATTTAGTGAAATCGATTCACAATAAGGTGTCAATATAATGGCCATGCCCAGGGAGTGTACTCGGGTGGGTAACATGACAGGGAGGTTCGTTCACAGAGTCTCCGAGTTCAATTTTTGTATCAGGAAATTATTTGAAGAGCCTGTCAAATTCAATAAATCAGTTTTGAAGTATTTAAGTCTTGTATTTTTTTGGATCAGAAACTTGGATGCCATGCATTTTTTGGGTGTAAAATTTCAGGTTTGAGTATTTTTTTAGGGTTGCAATATGAAGCTTTGTTGGACCCCCCTGTCATGTTACCCACCCAAGTACACCCCCTGGGTGGCCATGTTTATTGTCTATTAAGTATAGTACATGATTGAATTGTTTTACTCTTTTACAGGACACCGGCTGGTGATCAAGTGACTTTTCATTTTCTTTCTACCTTTCTGGACACCCAGCTTGACTGTACTTACAGGTAAGTCTTTATATTGCCCTGTAAAAGAGGCTAAACCTGTTTAAATAAGTTTGTCTGTAGTCATTAAAAACAGCAGTATGCATTGAATGAGAACATTGACTTGATTCATGAAGTATTAAAAACAGCAGTATGCATTGAATGAGAATATTGACTTGATATATGAAGTATCTTTGAGTTTTTTCCTAATTCTTATTTTGTTTTTAGGAAAGGAGAGGCTGTCTTCAGGTCTGACAACATCTCTACCATCTCTATTCTCAAGGATGTACTGACTAAGGAAGCTACAAAACGGAAAATCAACTTGAATATATCTTATGGTAGGAATAACACTCGGGTATCAAAGAAAATGAACCCCAATTTTCTTTGATTTTTTAGATCACCATAATAGTCTAAATTCTTGTCTTTTCCTTTTGTAGATTTGAGTGAAGAGTCTGTGGTTCATACTCTAAATCTCATTCATCCTAAATTGGAATACCAGTTATTGTTGGCAAAGAAGGTGCAGCTTATTGATGCTCTTAAGGTTTGTACTGACCTTTTTCTTATATTTGTCTTATTTGATTAAATTTTTACACCTACCAATCCACCCATACAAATCATCCTTCCATTAATGCATCTCTCCATCCATTCATTTCTTCCTTCCTTCCATTGTTCATCTATCCATCCATCCATTAATTCCATTCATTCATTCCTTTCATTCCATTCATACATTCATTCCCTTCATCCATCCAATTGTTCATTCATTCATTCATTTCCTCTATAGATAGGTTGCCAATACATTTGGTACCTCACAACTCATGGTTCCATCCATGCAAACATCCAGGCAAACATGCTGATGGACTATTTACTTAGAACTATCATTACTTATCCATTAATCTTTCCATTCATTTTTTTTCATTCCATTTCCTCAAACCAGGAACTACAAGTACATGAGAATGACCTCTCTTTTTTTGCCCCTGAGTACCAATCTATTTTAGGTAGGTTTGTAAAACCATCCTTTATTCTTTTGTCATGACATTTATTATGGCTTCCCTGTTTGATTCATGTGATGTTGCTTGGTCTTTCAGAGGAAGCAGATAAATTACAAGCAGAATACAAAAAGCAGCCATGTCATCTTGAACGACTATATGGTAACCATAATTGTTCATGTTTTACGTCTCACAACCCTTGCATGTTCATATTTTTATTCCACTTCTCAGTTAAATGTAATTAAAATTGTCATGCTTCCTGCTCAAAGTACAGTAGTATTTCTTCCATTCAGTGGTTTCCATTCAGTACATTAATCTTTCTTACTAAACCTTATCACCATTTCAGGGATGATCACAGATCTGTATATTGACAAGTTCAAATTCAAGGTAAGAAAAAATGCTTCAGCATATTGTGACCAGTAAAATTATAATAACTATTTTAATTTATAACACCTTTTTGTTGGGGAAACTTTTTGAAATAATGATAAGCAAACGATCTTTGAATACTTCCCAGCCAAAAAAAAAAAAAAAAACATAAATAAAAAAAATTGTCTTATTTCAAATGTTGTAGCCTGTCAAGTTTGAATGTACATAATAGTACGTTTTGGTTCAAATACTTTACCTTAACGACACACAAGCTTTTGATAATAAAGATAATGTACTTAATTTTAATACTTCTTACAAAATGATAACAGAAAACAAAAATATCCCTTGTACTCAATAAGTGCTCTGACAGCCTCAGACAGATATATATATATAAAATATATATGCTCTAGTTTGACTCATGGTAAATGGTAGGTTAGGTTGAATTGGTCGTTGAGGATTTCTGATATTTTGATAAAGTGATGACTCCAAGGTCTTTGTCATTTCAGGGAATGAATGTGAAAAACAAAGTCCCAATGTTGCTGGAGATTCTCGATAACTATGATTTACAGAACCTATGTAACTTCTTTGAATCCTGATTTGAAACTGGTAAATAGTGAGGAAATTGAATCTCTGTCAGTGTTTGTAGACTTTCCCTGGATTCAAGACAGAACTGACAAAGAAAAATAAACAAACAAATAATAGAAAGAATAAAAGGGAGGGAGGGAGGGAGGAAGTAAGGAAGAAAGGTAGAAAGTAAGTAAGTAAAGAACTGTAACTTATTATGTTTTCATGTAGATTTTTGACTGGTTATGATATTCTAGTCAATTAACTGTAAGTCATCATTAGGCTTGTCATGCTGTACACACAGTACAGCTCAGAGTAGTAGTATATGGTCAGGTATGTATATATTAATGACAATCAATAAAGAGCCATGTGGGCATGTCATTGCTAGATCCCTTTCATTTTTTTAGATGTTATTTTATTTTTGTTACATTCTCTTAACAAAAATCAGATTGTTTTTACTAGGTGACCCCGTGGGTAAATGTAATATTACATACTGCTTTGTGATGTAAAAATAAAGTCACTCCAGATCTCCTACACTTTTCTTCAATTTATTACAATACAATTGAAAATGCTTTTGCATACATATTTAGTCAATATTTTTTTGTTATTTTCAGTCAATAGAGTAATATCAATAAATGTTAGTTCTAGGATCACATTCATTTACAATGTAGCCGACATGAATACTTGATGTCAAGGTAAGGGCATCAAGTATGACCATAGTATAGTCAATAGAGTAATATCAATAAATGTTAGTTCTAGGATCACATTCATTTACAATGTGGCTGACATGAATACTTGACGTCAAGGTAAGGGCTTCAAGTATGACGATAGAATGGTACTGTAATACAAACACTCATGTTTCTAATAACTAAGTTAAATAGTTTGTTCTTGTAAGATTGAATAATAAGATTTTTTTTTACTAAGACTAAAATATAGAAATGATCTTAGAATCAATACACAATGTACAATGTACTAGCTTTCAAGAATCTCTTTCAAGAATCCCTTTCAAGAATCTCTTTCAAGAATCTCTTTCAAGAATCTCTTTCAAGAATCCTTGTTAATTTCAAAATCGTCCATCTTATAGAATATATCACTCATTTTTGCTTACAAATAATGTTCCAAACAAAGAAAAGACTGAATAGCATCTTTTCCAAGATGATTCACAGCTTATGACAATTTGAATTGATTTATGAAAACAAATAATGATTTTTTAAAAAAATTCTCGTTAGGAAGTTCAAAGCTATCACAGATTATCCATAGGAAACCTCTGTAATCTTAAACTTAATATTATCTTATCATATTCTACTCCAAATTTAACGTTAGCATTAAAAAAAAAACAAGGAAGATAACTTATTACAATCTAAACTAAATTAATGTTATACCTTAAATGTCTACACTATTCTAAATGAATTAGAATTAAACGTTACATTAATTAATGGTCGTTGTATCTAATTATTTAAAAATAAGTATATTATGCAGCTACAGTAGGAAATGTTTGACCACTGCAATCCACATTTTGAAATACCTAATACCTACATATGCCATGTTACGGCATATAGGAGAGCACTGTCATTCTCTTTTCTAAGTAGTCTGTGTTTGGTTTGAAATTGTTGGATTCATTTTAGGATGTTGTAAATTTTCCCTCAACCAAAATCAAAGCAGTTTTAAGAATTCTAATCACAGTTGTAAAGAATAACACAAACTCTGTAGATGAGAATGAGAATGGTCCCGAGTTCAAATGGAAGAAAAATGACCATTAAATGGATTATTTTTCAAACCAATCATAAAGCAGGAATGAACACCTTCATCCAATCATATCACTCACCAATGTATACTAATGTACACTTCCAATGAATATAAAAGTGTCTATGTCAATGAATGGTGTTTCGAATGAAAGCCATGTACAGTATTAATGACAATGATTTAGGAGTAATATCCTTGTTAACTATTATAATAGTAAAAAGTTGTATGGATGAAAAATCTTTGGATAGAATTATTAAGGGGTATGGTCTTTTCGTCTGTTCAGTAAAGGATTTGAGGATTTAGAGACGTCTTTAAGAACAGTAACATGGTCATATTCTACTCTCATTGTTGAAAGTGCTTTTGTCATCTCATCCTGTAAAAGAGAAGAAAAATTAAGACATTACATCACCACAGATATTTATCAACAGGCTATTATGTAAATAAATGGGATTTATTAGTGGCGTTTTTTCACAGAGTTGCTTAATTTTTCATTCACTGAAATTCCAATAGGGATTCAGAACTAGTTTTTGCAGAGGGAGGAAAACTAGAGAACCCAGAAAATATCACTAGAAGCACCGTCAAGAAGAGAGACCCAACAACCAACTCTACTAACTAGCACACATTCTACTAACAAGCCACAATGTTTTCAGTTCAGCTCTGTTGAGTTGCGCCACTGCCATACTTTGCTGTGGTGATTAGAGAACACTTTTGAAATGTGTACAACAAAGTGCCTGGCAGGATTCAAATGTGGATTGCATTAGTGAGAGGCTAGCAATTCTCACCGCTTCAAGTAAATATATTGTAAATAAAAAGATGAGAAGTGAAGCATTATTAGCAAACACCACCTATTATTCCTAGTTCCCTTAGTTACTAGAAACGAAAAAAGCTACAGACCTGAAGATCCAACCAGTTTTCTTCCTCTTCTTTCAAAACTTGTAACGTGTGTAGAGGTGTTGATGGAACTTCAGCAAATCTCTGCATGTAATAATAATAATAATATAATATATTAGTAATATTTAAAATATATGTAGATACATGTGAATATTAGACTTTCCCATTCAAGAACACGTGTACATCGTTTTCTTGAGTACCATATCTTTGTTGCTGACAATACGTTTTTTATATCATGAATAGGATTTAGCAGTTGCATTTTCACAGAGTACTTCTTCATCCACTGTAATTCCAGTTGATTTTTGTAGAGAGAGGAAAACCAGAGAACCTGGAAAACCTTCATAGCACAGGAGAGAACCAACAGACAACTCTACTCACATGACACCGAGCCGGGCGGGACGCGAACATGGGCCACATTGATGAGCGACGAGCGCTCTCGCTGCTATGCCACCCATGCTTCCCTTGAGAAGATATATTAAAATATGGGTCAAAACCTAAGGCCCATTCTATATGCTGCTCTAATCATGCGCCAACCTTGTTGATGAAATGAGTATGGCAAAAGAGCAGCATACGAATGAGCTGCTGCTCTTGAGTTGAATAATGCAGCAAGCCCTATCAAACTTGACGACTTTGTCATACAAAATCAAAAGGCTCTTCTCAGCAACAAGGGTCATAGATAATAAAAACGTATGGCAGCATTGTACCTTAATCCATGGGTTATCAATGACGTCTTCCACAGTGAATCTCTTAGATGGGTCTGTTCTTAGCAGCCCCCTGATAAGGTCTTTGGCTAGATAAAAAAGAGCATATCTGTAAGCAACTTTTATTTTTATCAAGAAAATCCCACAGCACTTTCACATGGTGTATGAAAGTGAAAATTCTTTCTAAATTATGTTATAGCTAGAAGTAATTTCGCTACTAAACAAGAAAGCATTTTGAAATACAATTATTGATAGTTAAACATTTTCACCTTGTGGAGAGACATTGCTCCATTCAGGATTAGGAAAATCATACTCTCCATGTCGTATCCTCTTTTTCATGCCTGGAGACATTGCCAGACCATGATTGCTGTAGAATGGAGGAAATCCACATAACCTACAGGAAAAAAGAGTTTTACGTATACTAGTTAATACTACTATTTATACAATGCTTTTGAGTGGCACACTATGAAAAACCCTACAAGCCATTAGTATTTTCTTGCAAGAAAACAGAAATGTCCAGTGGGAAGTTCCCTATACCAGAATCTGAGTCTGGCTTTAAAATATCCTTTACACTTACAAGATGTACATTATAACCCCCAAAGACCACATATCGCAAGCTTTGTCATAGTGTTCTGGGCCAAGTACTTCTGGTGCTGGAAGAAAATACAATTATACTGACATTAAAATTCTGTTAATTAAAAGCATTATAACTGTAGGCTGTGGGAGTTTTACAGATTTTTCATATTGTGACACAGTCCATTTAACAAACATCATAAATAAATTGTACTGAACCCTTAAAGAACTGGGCTGATAAAATTCAAATCATAGCTAATGTACAACAAGCTCTGCTCACATGCACTGCCGAGTCTGAGAGTTGAACCTGAAACCCCAGAGGTGGGAGGTGGAATCCGGAAGATGGGTGGATTTCAACTACCACACCACCCTTGATTTCTCCACATTACTTAATAGAATTACTCAGTTTTCTTGTTAGTTAATGATACTGCATGGATCTACTACCAGTGCTTTTCTAGGTCCTATGTCTTACCAACATAATATGGAGTGTAACATGGTGTTTGTAGAGATAAACCACCAGGAGGGGTTTCCTTGGCAAAGCCAAAGTCTGTTAGCTTCAGAACAGCATCAGGTTGGCTGCTCATGAATAAGAGATTCTCTGGCTGTAATATCAAGAAAAATTTCAAACATTAAAATAATAATATGCTACATTTTTGTTCCCCACAAAAGACTACACCTTCACCATCATCACCGTGAATCATCATCATTAACGTACCATCATCATCATCATCACCCACCATCAATACTACCAAAATGCATCACCATCATTATCATCATCACCAATACCAAATGCATCACCATCATTATCATCATCACCACTAACAAAATACATCACCAACATTATCATCATCACAATATCTTCACCTTCATTGCCATCTACCATCACATTATCACCACCTTACCTTAACCATCTACATCAAATCCACAAAGCATCACAATTAATTGCATCCTCATCATCATTGTAATGACCAGCATGATCCCCTACAGCATCATCATCAATACTAGCTGTCACATACCTTAAGATCTCGATGGGCAATGTTTAATGAATGAAGATGAGCCAATGCTAATGTTACTTGTCTAATGACACTAGCAGCTTCTGTGAATTTAAAAAAAAAATACATTCAAGTTTTAAAATATTATACAAGATTTAGAATGACTGTAACTATTATTTAAATCACAAGCACAATCTATAACATTTTTATATTTTTATAACGCAAAATAACTTACATAATACATGATCTAATGTGCATGTATGATTAATATATTATTTTGGTATATATATCAATTTTACAAACCTCTTTCTGTAAAAGGATTATCTCCACGGTTCTGTATTCTTTCAAAGAGTTCTCCTCCAGTCATACTAGAGAGACAATTGTTTTGAGATTACCTTAAATAATCAGGGTTTGGATAGGAGTGGTTTGAAGGTGCACCCTCTCTCTCCTTTTTTCTGGTAACAGGACTAATAATGATTTTATAAATTATTATTCAAAGTTGCTATATAGAGGTTTTGCACCTCACATGCTCAAGCCCATAAAACAGCTTGTACCTCCTGTGGTTAGAATGCAGAACAATAAAATCCCCTTGTTCTTGGGAATTGAATTCTTTCTTATGTAAAATAATTGTATTGTTCCTACCATCTAACAAGGCTGCCGTCACGTGATAGTGCAAAACCTCCATTCTATAAATGAGTTAGTAAAAAGAATAAAAATGCACTTCCCGTCCAATGATTATCACAAATTGAATATTAGGTTCCTTACCATTCCATCACAACCAGAAGACAATCATTTTTATTATATTTATTCTCATAAACATCTTTGATTCCAACAATATAAGGACACATAGACGATCTCCAGTGAAGTTCAACCTCACGTCTTGCTTTAGGATTGTCTGCAAGAATCTTTAATATATAATCAATAGAATTAGAATTATACTGCTTATTATGTCCAATTATGGAAGGGAATATTCATTTTTAGCGGGGGGGGGGGGGGGGGGGGGGGGGAGGGGAGAGGGACAGTGAGATTCACTTGGTGACCCATGCAAGAAATCTGACCCCCCTCTGCTATTGTATAACAAAATGGTTCTCCATTGTACAACTCAAATTCTTTTGTGTGGCCGTTCCAGTTTCGTTAGTGACCCAACCCCCCCTCTCCTCTCCTCTTTCTCCAATAAAAAATTAACATTCCCTAAATTATTGATATTTTGCATCTAGGTTTTCAAAAATAAAATTAGTGATAAAAATAACACAATAAAGAGTGAGTAGTCAAATGTTTCTATTCTCATGATTCATAGCAACCAGGATTCCAAAATAGAATTAGCAATAAAAAATAACTTCAATTAAAAAATCTATTATAAAGAGTGAGTAGTCATACAGATTTTATTCTCAGTAATGATGTGGAGTACAGCTTACTGGCTCTTTTGGAATATACATAAGCTGGCTCTTTTGGAATATACATTCCTCTGGCTTATTTTTAGATCTTGCTACCTAGGAAAAGCTAGGATCTTCATGTCTCAAGCTATGTATGGTTCTTACTGCTACAGTAGGGTTCAATATACGAGACACCTTGTCAAGACAGAACAGAACAGGAAGAGATACAGTAACTTGACTCTTGTCAAGAATCCGTGTTGACAGTTATCAATGATAAAAGAGGAAGAAAGTTAACTAACTGCAGTATTGAAATGAGCCTATAATTTGAAAAGTCTTTTATTGTTTCATAATCCCACATAAGATGTGTTAAAGTCATTGAGTCGATTTTCAGCCACAGACAAACAGAGCTGATAAAAAATTAACAAATCCCTCTGAAGCTTGGTGTACTTCCTGTACCTTTATTATTTCTTGAAAAAAAATTGTTTGCAAACTAATGGATTTCATATAATTTCGTCTAGAGAAATATCTCTGTAAGTAAGCTTGTATCAAAATGAGATCTTTTCTTGGACTTGGACTGATTCAACCAAGATAAGCTGATGGACTATATACATGTACATGTAAGCTCAATCAATATTCAATCTCCGGTATTCATCTTATTTATACTACATAAATCATTCGAGAACTTTTCACAGTTTTAAACTCCACTAGAAAGCTCACTCTTATGATTGAGTTAAATTTGAGAAAACGATCGATCGATCGATCGAGAAAAACTTGATAAATAATAAACTTCCTTAACTTAACACCAATGCCATGATCAAGTTGCCATATTTGGTTCTTATACTTTCACTCTCGAGTTTTAACTCTTCAGTGCTCAATAATAACATCCAAAAAGCGAATGATTGTAGGATTAAAGCTATAGAACAGTCAGGAGGTATTTATATTACCTTTAGTGCGTATTTTTCGCCGGTACTGTTGTCGATACATTCGAGAACTCTGCCATTTATGCCCACACCAAGGGAGTTCTTAGTGATATTATAGTTCTTTGTTATTAACGATTTCTTCGCCATTAAAGGCGGTGGCAAACCAAACAGAGGCTGCTTAGTAGAACTCATACTTCCGGGAAATATTTTCACTACAAAATACTACGTTGGTTGCAAGAAATACTGCGTTTTGACAGGAAAATAAAAAGATTGCACAACTAAATACCAGTAATTCAGAAAGCCGCCATTAAAACCGAGGGAAGACTGGGAAGGAATTTCACTTTGATGCTATTTTTAGACATCACGGTTTCCCGGTATTGCGTCATCGCTTGGATGTATTTTGCTGAGATAAGCTACAAGTAAGACAACGGGGAAACTGAAACAAAGGAAAAGAATAATAAGAACCCTAGAGGGATTAGGGCTGCTAAAAGTACTATAGGCTAAGGGGAAGGTATGAATAAGAAAAAGAAAAGAAAAGAAACTATATAAAAACAAGCTACTCATCAATGAAACATTTTTTCAGTGATGGACTGAATGAGAAGGGAAGAAAAGGAAAAGATTAAAAATACGATTTTTGGCATGTTGTAGGGTAGGGCTTTTTAACCCTGCAGATTCAGCTAAACTTACTATATTGGTCGTCAGCTGCTGGGATTGGGCATCCCCTGAACTCTGCCCTGAACTATATAAGCTATGCATATACAGCAGTCATCAAAAAAAGCCAGGTATCCGAAAAAATCAAAACACGAGAAAATCGTTTAGTTCAAGAAAGTATCAACAGGAAAAACTGTAAAAATGTAAAATTCTGAAAATACAAAATGAAAAAAAGGAATCCGGTTCCTTTGGGTCAACAACTGTAAACTCCTAAAATATTTTAGTTTTAGATGATATAGCCTTCTTTAGACAATCATTGTAACGCATTCTAAAAATTTTAGACTGGCGCACTCCCTATCCGAAAGTACGTTTGCAATGCCCTAAAGATGACGTCACAGCTATCGGTTTTATATTACAGACTGACAGGAAATCTGAAGGAATGCTTTTGATAGTGCAGTTGAACAACACCAAACATTATAATCGTAGCTTATTATACACCAAAATTAACCATTTATGACTAGTTCTTTTATTCAACCAAAATGATAGCAAATGTACAGTTAGTATTTATTATTTCGGTACTTGTAGTCTCTGGAAGTTTTGTATCGCCTCAACAGCACGACAGACAACGAGCTCTGGCTGATGTTCTATATTCTGTTCTAACAGGTAAGCAAGCGTCCCATAAGGAAATATAACTTTATATTTTCTCTATTAGTTATTCTTATATTGAAGAAAACCGAAGTAACAGTTAATTTTTATCACAATATTAGAGTATCGTTCTGGGTAGCTTTGATTCTTGTTGGGATTCTAGCGCGTGCTTCATTTACACAAGGCTGTGTGAAGTTTAGTTTTCCTTGCTAAAACTTCTTACAAATGATCTTTGTATTTCCTTTATCTCTCCACTAAAGACTATACTTAATTTTGAGTTAGATTTTATCCAATGTTTATGTATTAATTGAAGTTTTAAAATACTATGAATTCGTGGCATACACAACGTGTAGAAATGTCATAAATTATAAACTCTTCAAACAATAAAATTTTCATGAATTAGCTAACACAAGTTCTGAAATCTTATCATTCTGTCAGAATCCTTCTCTCAAGTCCATAGGAATATCATGCAGTTGAGCTCGAGTATTTCTGTGACCTATTTATCATTATAAACAGGGTAATTTTTCAGTACCTGCAATTTTTACAGTGATTATCAAAACGTAACTAAAATATGAGAAATCATATATATTTTTAAAACAAAGAATATTCTTAATCGTATTTAATTATTCTAAAGTCTAAACAGTCGTAAAAAGGCTGGACTACCGCCATGATGAATATTAATATTCCCGCCAAACGCCGGGCAATATATATATATATATCAACAGAATCCGACGCCAACCCGAATTTTGAATAGCAGTAATTAATTGTTGGGCTTTTGCATTCAGCCAAACTGTTGAATAGTTAGATAAGTGTATCTAACTTAGAAAATTATTTAGTTGACGTCACCTAAAGTAGTAAAAGCGCGCCAAAAAACGGTCATGCTAATCCGGGGGGTTGTTTTAGAGTGCATTCAGTCAAACCGTTGAATAGTTAGATAAATTTACCTAACTTAGATAACTATTTAGTTGACGTCACCTAAAATAGTAAAAGCGCGCCAAATAACGGTCATGCTAATCCGGG